GATGGTTGATAAAAGCTAGTCTGGTTGTGCAATTTTTTTTTTTCTTGATGATCTGTTGTCTTGTGTCAAAGGTTACTATATGTCTTGTTTATGTAACTTAGAGAAAAATTTGTAATATAGTGTATGACATTCTTGTTAGATGTTAAAACATATCAGAGAAGTGTGGAGACTACCCACTGATTTTATCTAGAACTCATTCTAATATAAATAATTTGTTTCGACTATTCGCGCAAAGTTACACAAAAACTATTTGCACTAACAGTCCCCAATGTTCAACAAATACACTAGGGAGAAAGCAGCTTGTTAACAAACCGTCAACTCTTATCGAGTTATGGGATACTATCGTCACTCTTATAACGCACCCTCGACCCCAAAGTGAGAAGAAAGGCGTTACCTTTTTATATATGTACTGTAACGGGATGTGAGTCATATATCCATAGACCCATTGTAATGCACGATAAACGTTAGAACATGACTGGCTTCATTATCATATAGAAACATAGTCGCATTACCACTTGTCGTGTTTTTAACAAATATTTTTATTGCACTCAGTTAAGGTCAATTACGAAGAATCATTACACAAAAAAATTAGATATCGGTTTATCGTACTCAATCCTTATATAACTATTTGTATATAACTATATCAATTTCTGATGACAGTAAACACGTAATTATATATTTCCATAACAAGTCCAAATTAATTTCTTATTTTGATAATTAAATATATAGTGTTCAAGTATTTCATGTACTAATAGTGTATTGATCAATTTATGTGCTATTTTGATAATTTACAATATATATTTCACATTGGGTTCTAGTAAAATCATTTGCATTGGACACCGTCTCTTATTTTATCTCCTAATTTAATCTAAATTTAACAATTTGCAAACTTAATTGACCTTTCTATTGATTCTACTCTCAGGTTTGTGTTTAAATCAAAAGGAAGAGATGTAAAACTTCTTTCCTGGCATACTACTTAACAAGTAAATGACACAATGCAGACGACCTCACTATAGCCAGTTACTGAAAAGAGCATCATAATTCATTTATTACAGCTGAAAACTGGTTTTAGTGTTGTATAGTAGAGAGTTAACTATTATTCATCAATGAGAGTTATATGTTGGGTTTTATTCATATGTTATTGAAAAAGCACATATTGAATAAATATCTTCCGAAAGCCGTCACAATAACTACTAGACCACGTCCTCAATATATGCAAATATCTATACAGTCATCCAAAATAGGAACAACAGAACACCGATTTCCAAACCAATTTCTAATTTTAATTACATTTTGACATCAGAGATAAATGATTTCTAAGGTATTTACTGTTTAGTTGTAGAATCACTGCGGAAAGATAGAAATGTGAAGCAATATGGCACACCAACGTTATAACGTGTGTGAATATATTTAATAAACAGAAAAATGGCACATTAACGTTATAACGTGCACACGCTATAACGTTAATGTCATTTTTCTGTTTATTAAATATATTCACACATGTTTTAACGTTAATGTCATTTTTCTGTTTATTAAATATATTCACACATGTTATAACGTTAATGTGCCATTTTTCTGTATATTTAATATGTTCACACACGTTATAACGTTAATGTGTCATTTTTCTGTTTATTAAATATATTCACATGAATATATTTAATAGACAGAAAAATTACATTAACGTTATAACGTGTGTGAACATATTAAATAAACACAAAAAGGACATTAACGTCATAACGTATGTGAATATATTTAATAAACAGAAAAATGACATTAACGTTATAACGTGTGTGAATATATTTAATAAACAGAAAAATGACATTAACGTTATAACGTGTGTGAACATAATAAATAAACACAAAAATGACATTAACGTTATAACGTGTGTGAACATAATAAATAAACACAAAAATGACATTAAAGTTATAAAGTGTGTGAATATATTTAATAAATGATGATGATACTTTGCTATCTCCAATAATACGATTAATGGAGTAAGTGAATGTTCATAAGTGAGGTAGAAAGCTCCATTAGTGCTTAATTTCAATTAACATATAATATTATATGAAAGGTGATGACATAAATAAGGCACTTCTTCAAATCATGTCAAGAAAATATGTGCTAATCTTTACTTATTGATAAATGTCAGTAAAAATAAAATAATGTAAATTTTACTTTAAACCATTATGTATTAATAACGAGACTTCGAACAATTTAAACGTGGGAGAAAATGATAAAAGTGAAATATCAAATAATATAAGTATTTGTAGGTTAGTTAAAAATTGTTGGAAAAATATATTTCATCATGAATTACCGGAACTCTTTGACAACACCTTTGTTATTTTATTTGTAGGTTGTTAGCTTGTGCAACGTAAAACTCCAAACAGTATTATGTGCACCAGAAAGATTAAATCTCGAATTTTATCGTTATAAGTTCTCAAGCTTATCGCTGGACTATCGAGGAAGTGGGAGCAATTTTACTTGTATAATGTTTTATGTATATGTTTTCTCCAAATTATGAAGTAATTTTAATATTTGTGATTTTTATTTTAAGAAATAAACCTTTGGTGTGAGTTAAATATAGTTTAAAGTATAAGCTTAATTTGTTGTGTATTTTATATAGTTTGACTGCATATTTTATATATAAGATGCATTACACAAAATATACATACTTAGTAAAGTTATTTAAAGTTCCTCAATATGGATAATATGAACGTCTGTTTGCACTGATCCTTTGTTGTATTTACTAAGCGTATTTTAAAATTACTCCGTCAAAATTGCCGTAAGCTTAATTACATAGCTTTATGAAAATAATAAACACACCAAAGTTTTGCTATCGAATACATTATTATTTGATTATTTATTATCAGCATTATCGTCATAGTATTTTCTTGACATAATTTGAAGAAGTGCCTTATTTATGTCATCACCTTTCATATAATATTATATGTTAATTTAAATTAAGCACTAATGGAGCTTTCTACCTCCCTTATGAACATTCACTTACTTCAATAATCGTATTATTGGAGATACCAAAGTATCACCATCCTTACTTCTAGGCCAAAAAGAAAAAGATAAAAAAATCATGTATTTAAAACTTTGTTAAAAAGCAATAAAATTAGTGTATGTCCATAGTTCATAAAATATAGTACGAATGTAGTGATAACTTTTAAACTAATTGAATTAAAGTTGAGTTCATCTTGCCTTAGGTCCACTTCTGGTAATGATCGAATTAAGACTGTTTTGTATGGGTTTATTAATTAAATAAAGATAAATTAGCATCTAGTAGTATCAGTTCTTGTGTTTACCTCCACTGATATGTTAGTATTCATTAACTCAACTCATTAGTGTAATCATTTATGTATCTAATCAAAAACATCTTAGGTGTGAAAAAAAGGAAAAAAAAAAAGGATTGAGCGTGCGACTTAAAGGAATGAAATCAAAATTGGTAGCCAAACTGGTAGCTACACTTATAACATTGATAAGAAGTTTACAGCATATATTCATTGATTAGTTAGCCAGGCCGCGTATTTTGTTTTACCCACCATCATGCCCCAAGTTAACATCACCTATTGCAGCAATGTGTGTGTTTCATTTTAGAAGTTTTAATATTTTATAATAAAACAATGCGCTAAAATTTACTAATAACAAAGGAACAGAGGTGAACTTTCAAACACTGTCTTAATAAATCTTTTTTTTTATGGAATAAATTTTTTATGTCAGAGTTCCTTCTTACTGCTTAACTACTAAGTTACAAAGTTATAACTATATAATGCTTATATCTGTAATACCTGCGAAATTTACGTTGAATGTATGGTAACTACATCTTCGTTTAAAAGGCTACTCTGTTTCTATATTCCGTATATGTAGGTAGATTACCACAATAATGGATATTGAGACGTACAGACTGCTTTGGACAGATTTAAGCTTTTTTATAAGCAGTATACAAAAACAAAAACACCACTACAAGTGTCGCCCCGCAGTGGATCAACTGTCAGCTTGAGGATTTATATTACTAAAAATCAGAATTCGATACCTGCGATGAGCTCAGCTTCGCTTTTATACCACCAGAGTCCATTTAGATATTTATACATTTTTAAATACTACAATAAGGACGCTGAAGACTGAACTTTATATATGAGACCAAGGAACAGCCAGACATTCTCAAAGATGATAGTCTAGGTAGGATAGTGCAGTAGGTTTTCAAATCAGTATTAAAACAAGTTCATATGATTCAGATGTATCTAGACTTAAACCAAAACAATATTTTTTAAAAGTACGTAAATTTGAAGTTAAATTAATATGTGTAAATTATACCAGCACATCATGACGTACACTGTACAACTGGTCAAACTGTAACAAACTCAATGAAATAAAATGTTAATTTTATTTATTCAAATACTATCCATGCAACTGTTAGACAATGTTTATATATGATATATATCAAAAGATGGAATGTTTCAAGTTAACATGAAAAAACAGGTATCTACGTAGAATATAAATTAAACTAGTATATGGATAATTATGTGAGTAAATCACGAAGTAAAGTATAAAAATAGGCAAACTGTAATAAATGGAACATTCAATATTAATTATACGTATCTAGATGCTTTATTCGTTATTCAATAAATGAATATTGATTGAAATTATAAGGTTGAACGTTAACCCTAACGATAATATAGAACTAATATGGTGTTAAGAACTATGGGAAGAGAAATACTGCTTTTTAATTTAATATAACATGATGCAACTTGTAAATCAATCATATTCAGACAGGTTCGGTAACTCCTCCTGGTGGTTCGCTTGTGACTAACATAACAAAACATCTGTCTACACAACTGGCCGCAACGCTGATGGCGCTCGGGATGACGTCATATGTCATTTCCTAGTGTCACATATTGAATAACCTGCCCACTGACGCCTTTCTTTGGAACTATGGCGTCATATGTCACGTTATCTACAAGCCCAACTGGGCCGTACTTTTTCATCTCATCTCCCCCTCCAAACCCGCAAGGGTCGACATCCTTTGGATTCGCAACGAACTATTCTACGTGGCATACACAGTTTTAGAACTGTTTTGTAGTTTCAAATTATTTTTCAAAAGTTTACAAAGATAAAGTGTATCTTTTACACCTTCGTTTTCGTCATTATATCATGAACAGTCAGTGTAACTGCTGATATTCTTTTGATAATTTCTTCAGACTTTCTTTTATTCCGTTTGAATTTTGCGTAAAGCTACTGGAGGGCTATCTTTGTTAATCATCCCTAATTTAGAAGCCACGATTAAATAGAAGGCAGCTAGTTAACCAACACAACCCGTCGTCTTGAGCTATTCTGATCGAATAATATAATTTGACCGTCATTCTTATAACGCACCCAAGGCCTTATACTTATAGAGCAGAGCGCGATTATTAATATTTGTTGTTGTTATGGTAACGGGTGCGAACCTAGGACTTCAGTCCAGTGTCTGACACACCCACTGGGACACACTCAACCTAATGTAAATTAAACCTGTAAATCAACGAACCTTGTGCCTTCCAATGAACTTGAAGCACTAACTGTTTTACATACAGTTTAGAAAGAGTGTGATTGGTTAATGATTATTAAAGGAACGTCCTATTAATGACGTAAATAAAGTATGATCCATCAACTAATCTATTCCTAGACGTTATTCACTCGTTGCTATTTTATATGTACTTTTAATGGCTTGTTCCAGTGTTAGCAAATATCAGTATTACCACGTATGCGGTGGACACTTTCTCTAACACAAACAATGACGTAAACAATGAACGATCCATTAAATAGCCCGTAAAATAAGTTATTCCCTCGTTGCTGTTATATGGTTTTTTAATGGTGTGTTTCAGTATCAGCCAACATCAACATTATTACGCGTGCGTTGTAATGAGATTAAAAACTAACTATATTAAAACACGTAACTTTGTATCAACATATTCAGAATTAGATGGTTGATCATTGACAGAAGAGCGTCGTGATGAAGTTTGTCATATTAGTTTTCATTTCTGTCCTAGTTTCATCTGAGAAAGTTACTTTTCTTAGATTCCGGAAATTCAAGAATATTGCAGTTGATCACAAACCGAATAATACAGTTTTAACTGAACTGAAGACAACTGATCGTAATGACTGTCTTGTAGCATGCGCTAAAGAAGAACAATGTGGGGCTATTAATCATAGACCAAGTGGATCGGAATGTGATCTGTTAAACAACCTGTATGAAGACATGTCTTTATTCTCACATTTTCCTGGTAATAATGTTTATGTTAAGGTAAGTTTCTTTGTTCTACGACGTACATGTCTAAATTCGAAGTGTCAGACACTTACTGTTAACACAGATTAGTCTATGTTTGTTATAATAGGTGTCATAGTTGTGTTTGATGTTCTGTAAGTCTGAAGAAAAACACTCATTATATACAATTGGTAAAATAATTGTATAGCCCTTTGTGGATTATGGTAGTTGCTTGCTATTTGTCATCGGTTAAATTTAGAACAACTGCTATGAACGTAAAGTTAAGGATAACTAACCAGTAAACTGCCTACTGCACCAAATTCTCGGCTCCAATGTGAGTAGGTTGTCTTCATTTCTGTATAAGGTAATCAGATACACCTCTGTGCAGTATCATTACCTAGCTTTTGTCAAATTATATACCTAACTATTATATGCTGTTACAAGAGGGCTTTTGTGAGCAGAATCCAGACTTTAATTATGTGTTAGATAACATAGCCATTGAGAAGCTACACAATATTTTATTCTCTCATGACACAAATGTAATTTATTTCCATACATTTAGCCCCTCAGTGGCACAGCGGTATGTCTGTGGACTTACAACGCTAGAATCCGGGTTTCGATACCCTTGGTGGGCAGAGCACAGATAGCCCATTGTGTAGCTTTGTGCTTAATTACAAACAAACAAATCCATACATTTATAGGCTACAGCAGCCTTGACTCCGTAAGGTAAGGTGATTAGCGACTAATATTGGGCCAAACTTCTTGAATTCTGGGAAGGTTCTAAAATTAAAGTTAAACAGATATAAAAGTAATTAGTAAATCTCACAGTAAAGGTTTAACAAACGGAGTGTAAACAGAATTGAAGATATGACGTATAACGGCATAACTCAAGAAGTTCACATAGTAGATAGGTTAATTCTATAAGGTAATGTTTTGATGCATATTAAAAATATTTAATTAAATACTTTCACATTATCAAACAAAGAACTGGTATCAGTCTTTTCTTTATTATTCATAATTCCATCGAATGTAAGGAGAAAATCAAAGGTTTTTCATTTGGTAATATTTACGCTACTTTTCTTATCAAAAAAAAAATTAAAAAGGGTCTTCTTTCAGTAATTTCAATATATAATTAATAATTATGGTATATTGATTTTCACGTATATTGTTTGTTATGAATTTCGCGCAAAGCTACACGAGGGCTATCTGCGCTAGCCGTCTCTAATTTAGCAGTGTAAGACTAGAGGGAAGTCATCACCACTCACCGCCAACTCTTGGGCTACTCTTTTACCAACGAATAGTGGGATTGACTCTCACGTTATAACGCCCCCATGGCTGAAAGGATGAGCATGTTTGGTGTGACGGGGCGAAGAAGAGAGAAAAAAAACTGAATCTGGTTTTGTACTACAAGCTCTTGTGTAGCAACATGGAGAGACAATGGTTTAAATAAGAAAATTTATCTGGAGTGTGAAGATTTTTTTTTCACTCCCAAAATTTATAAATTCCTTCACTATGCACTAGAAATTCTGGTAAATTTATTACACAGGCCTGCGAATTTAAATTTCATAAAAGTCGTTTTGGTTTTAATAACGGATTTTCCATAATTCCGCTACGCAGATTTCTAAAATAATATTTATTTTTTTCTATCACGTAAGGATTTTCTACAAATCGGGAAGAAGAACAAACTCTTACTTAGGTCAAATTATTATTTCGTTTACCACATTGAACATTTTTTATTATTATGTTTGTTAACAAAAATACAAATAAACTGAAGAAAAGGGAAGAACATTGATGTCAAACGAATATGCATCCTCATTCTTCCTGATTTTTTGCGTGTGAAATCTACGTCTTTTAGTCTCAAAACTACGTGTTGTGGTCTTTCTTTTATGTATTGCGTTACGAAGTTTTGTGAAAAATCTCTATGTGATGGAGAAAATGGATATAATTTTCGGATTCAGCCTACAGGAATTACTGTACAACATGTGTAAAACAATAAAACTATCGCAGGCCTGTATTACTTACGATAGTAAACACAATCATCTATCTGAGAGTATTTTACACTTAAAAATTCAGTTTTTAACAACAAACAAATTCTTACAAGTTACGAATTTGTTCACTTCTCTGTTCAATTCGCCCCCCAGTGGCACAGCGGTATGTCTGCGGACTTACAACGCTAGAAACCGGGTTTCGATACCCGTGGTGGGCAGAGCACAGATAGCCCATTGTGTAGCTTTGTGCTTAATAACAAACAAACAAACAAAAATCTCTGTTCAATTCAGCCAAAATATCTTACAACAAATATGAGAAATACCTATGGAAGGTAACTTCAGCCCACAGTTTACAAAGTTATATGTATTCGAACTTAAGATTTGTAATAGCAGATCTTAGTGAGAAAAACCATAGTAAATCTTTCCACATCAATCGCTCTTGCTGATATATTGATGATATTCTTGTACCTAATTAACAAGGGTTTCTTGGCAAGTTTACCCATCAATACTGTTCGTATTATAATTTTAAATGGTCCGAAAGTGAGTTAACTGATAAGTTAAATTTAGTAGTTAAATTATACTTTGGATTTAGTATTTAAATATATGCCGATATATTAGTAAATTTACGATATTTGCCAACAAGATTGATACACACCGTCTTCGTTTTTAACACGAATACGTTTTAATATACGCACAAAAATACAATTTACAGTAACAATTATTACAAATAGTTATTACAAACAAAGAATTATGAATTAAACTTTCACAAACTTACAAACAATATAAAATCTTCTTTCTAGTTTGGAACTTCCATGATATCTTATCGAGGGTTCACGATGAGCGAGTTAATTACGAGTTGATGTAAGTACGATTCGCCGGGAAGCTAGCTAGCTTTGTCCTTGGCCACACACGCTAGGTTTTCCACCGTTGAAGTTAGGTAATATTTTCGTAAAAATATTAATGTCCGATGAGAATCCACTGAAGTTAAACGATTTGTAATGTTCGAAATTTATAAATATTGCTGGTCAAAGTTTTCCGATTCATAAGCGTTATAATAATCACAGTTATAGCTTTCGAAGTTTATAGCACACTGACTATAGTGAACTACTAATAGACACTCTCTTCGGTGGGTCGCGTTGGTTGTATTTATAGGTGTGGGAAGGTTTTCTAGAAAGTTCAGATTCATAACAATACTGAGCAATATTTAAACGTTTACGTATATAGATATATTGTTGATTCCTACTCTCGAGAATCTTCTACAACTTTGGAGAATAGGCGGGAGTTTCGCAATACATATTTAACACTACAAGCTATGCATGTTTTTAAATATAAACTTAATATAAACAAACGTTGATAGTGAAATAAATACATAACAACAAATTCATTACAGTACTTACTCTGAAGAAAAGACGCTTCACTAAAATTCAATCACATTAGTTGGATATATATATCAGCATCGTTAACCAATAATTTAAGCTCAGAGTTTTCAATAATACTAAACACACTTATTTAGTTGCAAACTTATAAGTTTTACATTTATAGACAAATATTTCAAATACGTTTGGTATGATGTTTACCACTCACAACTTATTGGATACAATAGCATTTCTTCAATATTAGAAAATTTCAGTAACGAGGATTATTCTACCATATTTAGAGCACCTAATTTATTGAATTGTGCGAAAAATTCAACAATATTCTCAGCATTTAACGTTATAGAGAATACCACGAAGTTTCGTAGCTTTCAAGTCTCCATTTTAATTTCTTAGAAACTGTTTAAGGCAATAATGGATCCCTGTAGTGTAGTGGCCACCATCAGTTCTATTATGCATTAGTTTAAGTTTACTGCAGATAATGCAAACTATATATAATACTTAGCTATATGGTATAACAGTACTTTATCAGCTAGATAAAATTAAATTTTGTTAATGGTTTTAATTGTCACATTTGCCATTTTTGCTAGTCTTATTTCTCAGTATTATTATTATTGTGAGCTTTATCTTATCGGGTAATACATGAGACATAACTTTATTTTTCATGTTCTGCTGTTCCCTTCACGCGTGTGCGACAACCGTGTAAGTCGGATTAGTTGTGTTAGACACATAGTATACAATGTTTAGTAACGTATTACATGGACTTGGTTGTGTTATAATGTGACGGTCAGTCCCACTATTCGTTGGTAAAAGATTAGCCCAAGAGTTGGCGGTGGGTGGTGATGACTAGCTGCCTTCCCTCTAGTCTTACACTGCTAACTTAGGGACGGCAAGTGCAAATAGCCCTCGTGTAGCTTTGCGCCAAATTCAAAAACAAAACAAACAATCAATTATTTGTTAACATTCAATTACAAAGATTGAGTGTCACAGAGGTTATATCAAATGGAAGCCTCGCCTCCAAATCCAAATCGAATCATGATTTTATGTTATTTTATATATTTATTATAATATTTTCAGCATCCTCTTTGAATATTCGGAAAATTACGAATACCATTATGGATTAAATCAGAGATAATATTATATTACACATATATATATAACAGTGTGTGTCTGTGTCAAACACAACTTAAATATCTTTTCAACCCAATAGATAGCAATACAATGTATTATTAAGTAAAAGATTTTTAAGATTTAGTCAGAAATTTTATAAGCATTTTTTTTATAAAAAGTTACACGTTGTGTATTTTCTCTTGATATATTGTTTACCTTTGCCATCACCTCACGATTAATAACTGGCAGGATCAGGCTTTTGACCATGAAGGTAAATTTCTTCGACAACCAGTATTTTTACACGGTTCTATCCATTAGGTTTTATCAAGAAGCATATTTGAACATTCTAACCAAAGACCACTTACAGGAGATTATCAAATATACACAAAAAAAATGTTGTTTTATTAAAATAATAGAAGGATAAACATTATTTATACGTTTATTGTTACTATGTTACAATTAATTTTTAATCAACATGTTCGTAAAACATCTAATTTAGAGTTAATTTCCAGAAGATAAATTAATAAGTATTTACCGTGACATGACGGGCATTCAGCTACTAAATATGTAATAAGAAAAGGTAAACACTTTAATAACTTTATGTTTTTCAGTATGTTCTATGTTCCTATATATAGCTTCTGAAGTGTTCAGACAGACCTTGTCAGAACGGAGGGACTTGTGAAGACATTTCGCCTACCATGAGGAATGGCACTTTTCGTCAACATATCTGTTCTTGTCCACCCGAGTACTGTGGATTGGACTGTCAGAAAAGTAAGAAATGGTTCTAATTTTTTCATAAATGTTACATGTTGTTGCAGTAATTATACACATCCGGTGAAAAGGATTAGAAATCACGTTAGAAATTAACTAGACTATTCAACAATATGAGATAGTGAGAGAATTAACAAATTACTTAGTATTTAATCCACCAGAGGACCTTTCATTAACAAACTTAAACTATTGTTTGTTTGTACAGAATAAAGAAGCTTCATCACTTTTCTTGAGAAGTTAATTGTTTAAGACAAAATCACTACAAAAATGTACGATAACGATATGACTCTATGTAAATGATGCAAACTTTACGTCGTGTTTAATAAACATTCAATCATTATAGCACGCTACGTTGCAATTCGTGACTCAGATTTGAAGACGAAAGACACTGGAGATGAAAAAACAACCTCAACAGTGGAGGAATGCTACAGCTTTTGCCAGGACAATAAACATTACTGCTTGAGCGCCGGATTCGACGAACAACAAAAGAAATGTTACACTTATTACTACCCCTCGTTTGTTATCGGAAACGAAATTTTAGTGGAAAAGATTGGTTTTACCTTCATTCACCCTGTTGATGAATGTTGATTACTTCACTATTAACGTCAGTACACTAGTTGTCAGTATAGTTAGAGATGACATTTTAAAGTTTTTTTAATATCGTAATACTTTGGACCCCATTGCACTATATTACCTATCAAATTATTATTATTGTTATCTACATTTTACAACACACTTTCATTACACGCACCATTACTTAGAAGAACATAAATTAAAAGACAAATAATCACTAGCTTTCTGTCCTTTGTTGTTTCGTCGTCAGTAATTTTGTTACAACGTGCATCAAGATTTTGTCAACGAATCACCCCAGTGACAATGACCATTTTTTTAGAATTATTGTCTCAGTGGGTAAGTTGTATTTGATGTGCCACAGTTGTGTTTCACTGCGTTTTTTTTTGAAGCTTTGTCAACTTGCAGGAAGTGTTTGACATGTTTTTCAAAGGAAGTACTCCTGTATTAACTTATTGTGCACGTAGTTATCAGTTTGTTGGATTTATTGTAACAGTATGTAGTTTGTACTTGATGAGTGTCTCACTAGAAATTACTATGATAATGTACTGTAATAGTAATGTAATTAATAATTACTTTAATAAACAGTAAAAGCTCGTTAGGATGCTTGAAATCACAAATTGGTTTAATTCATATTTTACAACATGTATTTCGGAATGAATATACGTAATTTGGCATCAAGAATGGAATTCCGATAGTGGTTTTGTGATAACTTTTAGGATTCAGATGTGCATAAAGTTTAATATATTACCAGCTTCCCTTTCTGCATTACTTGTATACGAAGACCACAATACCAATTTCAAATCAAATACAATTTCCACAAAACAAAATATTCCATATGAATACTCAAAGAATTCAAAACATACTTTATAATAAGTTATGAAGACACTCACTTCTTCTATACTGTAAACTATAGGCTTAACTTAATAGTAGACTTAAGAGACCTACACATGTCTGTTTTATTTACATTAATGTGTGTGTTAATACCAACGACATGCGAGTTAAATGGGTGACAAGTTTAAGAAGATTTAATGATATACCTTTTGGTTAGTTTACTATTCATAATACAATGTTAATTACATCCCAATGATGAAATTGTGTGAGAGATTTTATACAATACAACAAATGTTTAATGTTTATGGTAGGGATCAGACATGTTGATAATTTCATCACGTGAGTAACTTACAGTATTTAAGTATACGTTGGAAGGATTAAAACACGCAAACTATGTAACACTGTTTCACTAACTGAGTTATCTTATAGCCTGTAACTCCTGGAATATTGGGAAATTTTCAGACATTTGTTTTGGTGATGAGAGCCATTTCAAATAGTTTAGGGGAAAGAAATGAGAGGAGGGTACTATAATGTTAGCTGCATTTTGCTCTATGTAGACGTTCTTCAATCACTAGAACGTGGAGTTTTTCCAACAACATTATGTTTGATGCTATAGCGTAGCGCTACGCCATATCAGAAAATCTATCATCAAATCTCCATCCTAAATAGTAGCACTGTTCGGAATGTAAAGAAATTCGTATTTGGAATTTTCAACGTGATCAACAATTTATGCGTACATGGAATAAACGTGTTCATAATGACTGATCATTTGTTCGTGCAAAATAATTTACGAAATTGTAAGCATGAATAAAATTATTCTCTAACCATAAAGAAATCAATAGTTTTATTACCATTTATAGAAAAAAAAATTAAACTAACACTGGGACCAAGTTAATAATACCATATATACTAAATACAACAAAAATACACGTGTAAGTGAGTGAATTGTTCAATTTTATAATAATACAAGTTCAAATAAGGGCCTTCGAAATGTAAAAACTAAATACATTTTTAGTTAACAACTAGACCACCGTGACCCATTGGGTCAACCACTATTTAGAGGTTATGAAGAATTCACGCTAATTTCAATATTGCACCGAAATGAAGGTTTATTTTGAGATAATTTAATTAAATATTTCAATTCATTCGTGTTATTTATAAGTCAAGAAAAGATATTTGATTGTTGATCGGGAGTAAAAGGAAAGACCATTTCATTTTTCAAAAAAGTGAAGTAAGAAGTTTCATAAAGAGCGCGAACGGTAGTGTGAATGATTTTTTGACTGAGAAAATAAGCAAACACACAAACAAACAATCTCAGAGTTTTAGTAGTATATAGATAGATTCTTCAAGATCTTGGTTTTGTCATCTTACGCCTTTTAATGAAGATGGGAACATCGACAGGGAAATAATATAATAGCCAATGCTTGGCGAGAGGTCTTCGTTTATAAAAGTTTGTTCTTGTTCTCGACTTGATTTTTATTTTATTACCTCGTCTCCATAGTTACTATTTGCGAATAGACAATAACATTGTAGGTCCATTTTATTGTTATTCTTTCTACGCGCCGTTTTAACACATTTTCATCTCATCATTTAATTTCTGTTGTGCATATATTGTTGTATAGAAGATATTTTAAAGTGATTCATCAGGTGGAAAACGAATAGGTAGATAGATAAACCAATATCCAGTGTACCTAAATTAATCTAGAAATTTTCATAAAAGTGATCCGAAAAACGGGGCTAACTTGGTAACCCGTGGCCCGATTTTAACGAAACTTGTTTTATACTGTTCCTATTCTCATTTCACTACAAATATGGCGGTATTGTGCGCCGTTTTTGCTGTATTTAATTACAGATAAGCAAACAAACAATCTCATAGTTTTAGTAGTATATGGACAGACTTGGAATATTTAACACGGATGCTCATAGAGATACTAAGTAGAAGTGAATAATATGCAGTACCTTTTTTAATACTTAACCCCGATACTCATGTAGATTCTGGAAGTAGAAGTACATAACATACTGTAACGATTATTCAACAAGGAGTCTTAAGCTAAGATGAAAGTCGAATATGGGCAGCTTATTTCTATATTTTAAGTTTCACAGTAAAAGTCAACATGTAAAGCATTCTGTGAAATCTTAAAGACATCAACAACACAATACAGTAATGTATTATTGAGTAGGGAAAAGTCATGTCTATATCAACTAGTTTGATATTACAGGAAAACACATTCTCCAAAATTACATGCTGTTTGACCGTATTGTTTTCTCAATTCAAAGAAATTACAAATATGTCACAAGTTTAATTCACATCATATATTTAAATATTCTTAATTTATTTTTATAATTTCATCAAACGTTTTACTTTCTAACTGTCATGTAATTCTTAGATAAACTCAAAACTATAATTAGCTGTTGAGTATTCGCGAATGTTAAGAACTAGAATCAAATATTGGGATAAAAACGAACTACAGAAGAAGGCTATAACAGATTTGACTTGGCTGAACCAAATAAAAAAAGAGAGAGACTGAACAACAAAATGTGAGTATAAAATAAAAACTCTTCATTGATATAAAACAACAAAGTATAAGAAATAACTAACTGGTTCACTACATACGTGGCAAGAAACAATTAAACTTCTGTCTCTGAAGCTTCCAGAGACATAACTGGTCTTCAACTCACTCTGAATCTATCTATACGAGACTGAGAGACAGTCTTCCATACATCTTCACATGAGTCATGTTGGACAGAAAACACACCAGTATAAGCCTAAAATAATTCTCCAGGAAAACCAACCATGGGAAGATCTAAAAATATCTCGAAAGTATATACTATAAATAGATTGGATCAAAAATATGATCAAAGCAATTCAAAGCCGATTACGTTAACACATGCGCTAACACATGTATGTGTGGATCATTTAAAATAATCAACTTTCTGAGTTATCAGAGAAAGCAAAATCAAGCTTGTTACACATACTACAAAATCAGGGCTCTCCATTCATTATACGACTTTCCTGGAAAGTTTCTTATCAATACGTGTATCTGTGAGATGTTAATCAAGTGATATCCTTATTTTGCACCTGTAGCATAAACACCAGAAAAAATAATCTAAGCAAAAAATTAAAGTATAAATCGATAAATGTTTTTTTTATATATTTGGTAAACTTCAGGTTCAAAGTTACTATCAATATTACGAATGATTATATCCATAAATATAAGATTATCATCTGGCCGATGTTCTACATTATAGAAAAAGAAATTATAATTGAGTTCTTAGAAGATCATATTACCATCCAAAGTGCCATCAAGATCCATAGTACCCATGGTTTGACATACATGGCCAGAGTTATGGCTTACAGTTATTCATCATCTTCTGTAACATGGTGCTTACATTTACAGCAACATCAAGTGAAGGTCTCTACAACTCACACTTTACTGCTCGGTGTTCCAACAAGCTTGTCTGCTCACATCTAGTACATCATTGCAAACGCCTGGACTCTCGTCCCATTTATAATACTTGTAGATTTGACCAACCTACTTATTCTTACAAATGTTGCAGTTAACCTAGTTTTAAGCCTAATAATCCATCTGCGGTAGCTTTAGTTAGTACCTCTGACCCGCTTACACCTCCATCTAACTCTTCACCTCCTACAATTGAAGACATACTGTGTTTCCTTACAATTACCCTTCAAAATATCCATCTACATCAGAGCATCTTTGTCTAGGATACTATTAACTACGCTGATAAGACAGTGTTTAAACTTCAGACGCTGGCCACCTATTCCGCTCTTAATTCACATTTTAATTTTGTCGCCTATGGGAATCAAAAGGTTTGGGGTATATAGGACAGCGTGTTAAACTTTCTTTTTGTCAACATACAATCATTTTCCCTTATCTACCATTAGGTGAAGTACTTCTTAACGAAGTTACCTATTATTGTTGCTTTGCTGAATGAGACTTTTCTCAAATCTTTACAAGCTACAAATTCACCTGGATACCATTTTCATCACTGTGATCATCCATTAGATATTGGCCGGGATCGTGTGGCTATATGCAGTCGCATTCATCTTCCCTACCAAATTCATTCTCTTCTTCAGGACACTAATCTAGAACATTTCCTCATTACGTTTACTTTCGTTCCAGAATTATCACTTTTGCGATGTTATGTGCTTTTCCTGGAGTTCAGGTACTCTACTCCCTGGATCGTACATTTCGTAGTTACCTAATTCTGACTGGTATAAACTGTCATAGCCAGAACATGCTTATTTCAGGCCACCCTTTGTAATTTTTCTGGTTCCTTCCTACCACTCCCTTTTCCTAGCCGACCTGAGTCCATTTTTACTCCATATGTTAACTTGGCTAACCTTGTTTCTTTCTTTCTCTTTTTCATCAGCATGCTCTCTCTCTGGTAGAAAGTGATCATGTTCTCATTAAAGTTCTTCTGAAGAGTCATCACATTTGTGACAATTTAGATATATGCAGATAGTTTTTTATATTTTTATAATGCTTATTAGTCGGCTTTCCAATCTCACATCACTCGTGCAGTTCCACCTGAAGACTTCAGTCTCTCTACTCTTAATCATTTCTAAACGTTTGTACACTCGAATCCCCTTTTAACCCTGTCAAGTGTGTCGGATTTGTTATTGTATATTTATTTTAATATCGACATTTGTTTAGATTAAATTTATATCTATAAACATACATAGTTTATATTGCTAAATATGTATTGCGAAACACCCGCCTATTTTCCAAAGTT